TTTTGTGAGCCCATCTTTTCCTGGGCAGAGGCAGTGGCTTTCTAAATTCTCACATACAGGCTTATTTTTCCTTTTTGTTGTTACTCAGTTGCTAAGTCATGTCTGATTCTTTGCGACCCCATGAACTACAGCACACCAGGCTCCCCTCTCCTCCCTGAGTTTGCTCAAATTCATGTCCATTGTGTTGGTGATGGCATCCAACCGTCATCCTCTGCGGCCCCATTCTTTCTTTGCCCAGCATCACGGTCTTTTCCGCTGAGTCAGCTCTTCGCATCAGGTGGCCATAGTATTGGAGCCTCAGCATCAGTCCAAACACCAGGTGTTTTGTTTGGCCATTTAAATCCCCTGGGAGTCACTTTAAGCCAGTGGCAGCGGGGTGGGGATGGAAGAATGGCCATTCACCTATGTATCTGCTTTTTCTTTATGATCAGAAGCGATCATCCACAATCAGGACCTCAGACTTGTATTTGGAGGGAAAGGTCTTTATTGCCCTTCTTGGTTCCAGCAAGTCAAAGTAGGAATGTTTGGACTGGCTGATTGCGGGGGTGGTAGCTGCTCCTGAAAGGCTGAAATCCTCCACTATTAGTTTTGGTTTAGCAGTTAAGGTTTCCTCTGGACATTGAAATCCTTAAAACAGTGTCCTGCATTCCAGAGTAGCTCACTTTGTGTACTTTCTGTCCGTATAATTGTTGTCTAGATAGAGATGGATTCCTGGTGCTTCTTACTGCTCCATCTTCCCTGACATCACTCTCTCCATGTTTTCAGTTTTTATCCTGCTCTCTGGAAGTTGTTTGTCAACTTTTGTCTTCCAACTCTACTACTAAATGTTTAGAGTGTTCTATTTCTGTTGTCATTTTTAAGTTTCCAAGTACATTTTTGACTCTCTGCTTATTTTTTTTTTAATCATACTCTGTCTCATAGGTGAAATACTTGTTTCTCTGAGGATACTAATATAGTACCTTTTAGTGAAGTGAAGGCAATGGCACCCCACTCCAGTCCTCTTGCCTGGAAAATCCCATGGACGGAGGAGCCTGGTGGGCTGCAGTCCATGGGGTCGCGAAGAGTCAGACACGACTGAGCGACTTCACTTTCACTTTTCACTTTTATGCATTGGAGAAGGACATGGCAACCCACTCCAGTGTTCTTGCCTGGAGAATCCCAGGGATGGGGTCGCACAGAGTTGGACACGACTGAAGTGACTTAGCAGCAGCAATGTTACTCAGCTCCCTGCATTATCTTTCCTCTGAGTTATTTTTATCTGTTTTTCTCTTTCACCTTGGAGGCTGTCCTCAAATCTCTGGTTATTTCTTGACTATTCACATTTAAGAACAGGGCCCTAAAAAGCCATTTGGAAGGTGTTTCAGTTTCTGCAGCACACTGCACACTAATCATAGAATGTGAGCCACGTTCAGGTTGTTTTCAGGCAAGGCTTTACTGGGGTCCCTGTTGCTGCAGGGGAGTTCGAGAACAATAGGTTCCCGTGCTTGCTTGCTTCCCTGGGGAGGTGAGCTGCTTCTTTATACGGGGTGAGGGTAGGGGTGTCCAGGGGTCAGGCCAGAGGGGTGGGTTACGTGGCTTCCCAACCCCTTAGGTAGTGTTATGTGCAGAGGGCATGCACGGCATGCTGCTTTTGCTCTGGGCTCTTCAGAAGTGGCAGATGGCTTTTTGATCTCTTTGTCTCTTTTGTCCAAAATTTGCCCTAACTGCACATTTCAGATTTTGTAGTAGCCACTTTAAAAAGGTAAGAGAAGGCAGGTGAATAATATATTTTGTTTCACCCAGTATATCCATAATCTTACATTAACATATAATCAATATAAAAATTATTGGTGAGAGATTCTATATTATTTTTTGTGCTGTCTCCCAAACCCATGTGTTCCAGTTGCAGCACGTCTTAATTCATACTCTGTCCATATTAATAAAACTTAGAGCTGAAAAGTAGGTGTACATAGTTCTTCCAAATGTTCTTTGTTGTTAGTCTAGATATACCTCAAGTTTTCAAGTGTTAGAAAATTACTTTCCTTCAATATTTGCATCCACATTGACAAGATTCGTCATCTTTTATTAGAAGAATTGATGTGGTTTTGAATAAAAGGGTATCAATTTCAAAGCAGTTATATGTTTAAATAAATTCAACTCTTCTGTCAATTCTGTTATTAACATCACATTCAATTAAGTATTACATAACTGGAAACAAAATTAAATTTATCAGTATCAACCATTCTTTACATTTTTCTTACGTTTTGCAGCCAAATTGGACAATGCTGTTGATTACTTTGAAAATCTGCAGGTTGACTCATATTAGAAAAATGTGTAAAGTCATTATTTTTTGTTTATATTATGAAGTGTTTCAATTTTAACTAATTTTTCTCATCCAAGTAGGTCACAAGTTTTTCCCGTTCTAAGGAGCTTGAAATTTAGCTCATTCATATTCAGTGTGATCCTGCCACTTTTTGTCTTGGATTACTGAATATTTCGCAAGCATTCCTTTTCATTAAAAAAAAATCTTAAATTGAAATTCCCAGTACAGGAAATTTTTGTAAAATTCTTTTATAACTCAACTAAAGAACATTGGTAAAGAACACAAGATCATTAAAACAGTATTTTCAACATTTTCATAAACTAACAGTGATTACATCATTTCACATGTGCACTGAAGAATTTTAACATCTGTTTATGACTCCCAAAGTCTGCTTCGGAAAACTGAACAGATATTTTCAGTAGCTATCATATAGTGAAACAAAGCAGTGAGGGGAAATATCATTCTCTTGCTTTAGAATTCCAATATATTTATCTTCGGACCTAACATAATTTCAGTCTTTATGAAAGAAACTAATTTTTCTCTCTCTTGCTGAAATTCTTTGTCAGGTTTAAAATGTCAAAAAATATGTCATGAGTTTGAGTTTTTACATAACGAATTGACATTTCTTTGAAAATTTGGATGTTGAGACAGAATGTACTCAAAGTATTCAATTGGCAGTGTCTTATATTACACACCTAAAGTTAAGTACTTGAAATTTTTCTAATTTTGAACCAAATGATCTTTGATATTACAAGAAACTTCTTGTATTCTAGGAGCAACATTAATTAAAGGGTTAATTAAAAATTTCCATTTTTACATGTCCTTTTAGGTTTTCCTCATAATTTTCTAGTTAGATTACTGTAACTAAAGTGGTAATTTCTTCTGTCTTCTCTCCATCTGAGATTTTTGTGTGTGTGTGTGCACACGCATGTGCACAAGTATTCAAACCATTTTATAGTTGGCCAAGTATCAGCTCAAAATCCTGTTAAAAATTGTTTTAATGTTTTGATGGAAATGTAATTCTTGTTTCATAAGACTTCATGGATTTTTCTTTTACTATTAGGAAAATACTTATTACTAGACCGTTGCTAAAAAATGGCATAACTATTAGCTGCTGTCTTACGTAGTGTCTACTGTATTGAACACTTGTGTACAACAAACAGCCTTCTCATTTTGCCGTGCCTGCAGTGACTTGCAATGGCAACTCATCATTGAATGTGCGCCGTACCTTCTTGCACTCTGGTTTTCTTTGCTGTACTAGTTTGTAGTACTAGCTTCTGTATTGCACTGAATTCTGCCTCAGTAATATGCCTTCATTAAAATCTAAATATTTTTCCATATTTTTTAATCTAGGAAATAGTTTTATTATATTACAATGAAAATAATACGTATCTCAATGTATGACTGTGGTTTCTATATAGGTGTCGCTGTAACTTGTGCTGTATGCATAGGTGTTCTTTCACTTGTACTATCTACATAAAATATCCAAGTAAACACTTTTGTGATGTTACTTCAGTGCATAGAAAATCATCTGACCTGAGTCAAGTCTGTTGATACTAGATTGGTGGAGTGTTCATCTGCAATACTAGAAATTATGCACGTTCCTATACAAACCTTACAGTAAAACAGCAATGTCCTATGCAGTGCAACAGTCAAAGTGAATTGTAGTTCTACTAAAACAATAAAGTTGTGTTTAGTGGAAAAATATTCACTCTGCCTCTGTTTTTTAAACCTTGAAATATAGCACTATGCATATTTCCAGTGGCCTCCAGTGGCTCCCATACTGAATAGTACAGAGTTGGAGAACACAGTGCTCACCACGCAAAGCCCAACAAATCAGAGTGATGGAACTCAGTAAAAGTTTATTTCCCAGTCAGGCCTCAACAGTTTCTTTCCAACATTTGCTAGTTATGCCATCTGGAACATAGAGCCTCCAAGGTCCCAGAGGTAAGGAAAGCAAGACCTGGAACATTATACAGTTTTCAAACACTGGCCTGAAAAGAGCTTAGAACCATGGGTCCCAGTTTGGTGCCAAGGTGTCCCCAGGGCACTGCAGAGAATTCATAAGGGCTGCCTGAAAGTACAAGTGTTAAGTCACTCAGCTGTGTCCGACTCCTTGCGACCACATGGACTGTCACCCACCAAGCTCCTATGTGGAATTTCCCATGCAAGAATCCTGGAGTAAGTTGTCATTCCCTTCTCCAGGGGATCTTCCCAACCCAGGGACTGAACTAAGGTCTCCTGTCCTGCAGGCAGATTCTTAACCATCTGAGCCACCAGGGAAGCCCAGGATATTTTAAATTGTAGGGAAATGTGTGTACACACACACACACACACACACACACACACCCCACATCAGGTTTCTGATCTAGTATCATCAGTCCAAACAATAAGAACATTGAACATAAACAAACAAACAAAAAAAACCCCTTAGATCCAGCAAAGACCTGAGGTCATGGGGTAAACTGCTGCCCCAAGCTGGGAGAGTCAGATATCCAGGCACAAACTACTGGGGTCGAAGCCCTAAAATACAGCCCTCCACGGGGCCCAGTGTGGGCTCAGGGATCTTCACCTGGAGGCACGTTTGCTGGAGGCTCCGTGTAGGCAAGTTTGAGAGGTAAAAACCCCGGTCTTAGGGGTGACACCTCTCATTTATGTGTTTTACTTCCTCCATGTGGGAAGAGGACACAAAAAGGCAGAACTTTGATTTCTTTAATTGCATTCATAAATACTAAATAATTTCATTAGATTCAGAATTCAAAAAGTTCCAAAGGGCTTATATTATAGTTTTTCTCTTATCCCCATCCTTTAGGCGCACCTCACTTGTCTTCCCTGGGGATGAACCATATTATCATATTTATTACCTCTCACTGGAGGTTTTATCATACCCACACACACTTTTTTTTCTCTTTTTTTCCTTGTACCACAATTTAATCCCTCCTCTATTTGGGGGCAGAATCAGTTAACAGAATTGACATTTTCCTGATAACTAAACCGTCAAGTCCAAGAACAAGGTAACCTTTCCATGTTCGGTCTTTTGTGTTCCTCAGTGATGTTTTAAAACTTTGCTCAGAATAATCTCACATTTTCGTAGGCTTATAAAGATTCCTATGTGTTACTGTTTTTGTAGCTGCTGTGATAGATTCCTTTCTTGGTCTGTCGTGTTAGACCCACCTGCAGAGGACCAGTGGAGGCTGCCCTGAGACCTGTGTACATCAGTAGTGATTATTTCTCCTTGTGTGACCCATCAGTCATAGCAGTGGTAATCTTGACTTCAAATTCACAAATTTCTGCAGGGAGGTACTCACTGAACACCTAATATATGCCATGCATTATGCGAGTGGTCTAAATAAATGTATGATATGTATGTGAAGCAGACATTATTGTTTGTACTTCACAGATGAAAAATCAGAAGTTCATGGTTACAAAGGCAGGAAACTTTTGGACTCCAGAGCCATTATTTTCTATCATACTCCAGAAGGAACTACAGCAGGCAGTTAAGTTCAACTGGCCATTGTTCAGTATGAAAATTTCATTTTCTGTTGCTAATTATATACCACTTCAATGTATTTTATTAGGTAGATCAATCACATTACAATTACTGTTTTTTAGATCATGAAAACAGCACAGATTTTACTAAATGATTAAAAAGAAGCTGATCACCCAAATGATTTCTAGATTCCACTAGTCACTTTTGTTCATGCATTATGAAGTTAGTACATATTTTACTACGTGGTTAAAAAGAAACTAATCGTCTAGGTGACTTCTGGATTCCACGTGTCATTTTTGTTCATGCTTTCACTATTGCCTTCCCCAGATTCTCTCCTTTGAACAATCCAATAAATGCAGCCGGCATGTGTTCAAATCCTTCAGTGACGTGTTCATGGTACTGGATTTTACCCTGTATCAAAGCAATAACAAATATAGTAGATTAGTTTCATATTCTAAATGATACAGTCTTCTCATCATAGCACCAAATTAATCAGTACATCATAGGAAACTTGGAACTAGGAAGTAGAGAGCCTGTCCTCTTTGAACTTAGTCATTTGCGGGGCATGATACACATACATAGTGTATTGAACAGATTATGCATAATAGCTTATAAGAGGCATCAGGTCATAGTAAATACAAAAAAGTCACAAGGGAGCAGTTAACCAATGTCTAAGTAAATTGGACAGAAAAGTTTAATAACGATCTCAGAAGAGGTGGGAGCAGGGGTAGGGGACACCCTCCTGGAGTATCATCTGTGTTCATCACTCCAGTACCCAATGCTGTAGCATCTTTACCTCTATCTGACCCCTGCAGACACAGAACCTGTTCAGCAAATGTAAATACCAAGACAGTCCAATAAGCTGTCTTCCCTTCAAGCCAAGATTTATTCAGTATGTGTTCAACATTCATTTAGCAGTGTGGGAGTGAAGAGTTCGTTTAGTGAAGAAGGATTTTCATTTCTCCTTCTATAAGGCACAGTCTCCTAAATGGACCTAACTCACATTTTCACATTTTAAGGGGGTCTTATGTGGAGACCTAAGCTACCTGATAACATTTTCCCCTAATGTATCTCAGTGATGGTTTAGCATCCTTCACGGATTTATGGAAGAACTTACTTATTTGTTTGAGGTCCCTCAACTAGCATGTAGGCAAGCTGGGATTTGAATCCCTGACTAGAAAGCCCCAGCTCCTTCTATACTTGAGGACCAAAGAAACTGGAAAGGGTCAAAAGCTATAATCAAAAGTTTAGCGGTTAAAAGTAGAGAATGAGGGACTTTCCTAGTGGTCCAGTGGTTAAGACTCCAATGTAGGGGGCATGGGTAAAATCACTAGTCAAGGAACTAAGATCCCACATGCCATGAGGTGCAGCCATAAGGAAAAAAGTAGAGGATGAATGCTAATATAAAATGTTAATGATACGGGAAATTAGGATATAGAATACAGGGTATATGGAAAGTCTCTACTCTCTTTGGAATTTTTCTTTGTAACTATTCTAAGGTAAAGAATAGTTTACTCTTCTAAAGTAAAGAATAGTTTACTACTCTATTATTACTGTAACACAAAAGGGGGGAGGGATGAGAAAAAATAAGTAGATGAGAGAGAAAGACAATTCACTAGTTACTTAGAACAAAATTAGAAATAGGTTCACTCCGTTAGAAGAAAGCATTAGGGACACTGGCACAGTGGTGTCTGTTGTCAGCTGTGATCATATTTGATTTCACCAACAGAGACAAAGAAGCTACACACGGGAACTCTAAAAGCATCCTGCTCCTCTCAGCTCCCTGGAAGGAGCCCAGCGCAGCACTCCAAGAGTGTTAGACTGGGAGAGATGCCAAGCTCTCGGGGCTGCCAGAGGAACAGTCTATTTCTTCAATTTGGAGACAATCATAAAGCCAGAAATTAGAAAGTGTGGGACCACTTTTCTCCTTGGAAATAAAAATAATGCACCTTGGTATTCAGATTTCTGTTGACTAAAGCTCCATGTGGTGTAAGGTGGGAAAATGATCACAGCATAGGACAACGGGGTTGGCTTCCTCCTGGGGATCTATGAGGTGCGACTATGAGAAGACTGCATTCTAGGACCTGGAAGAGCTGTGGCCCAAATACATGCCCCTGCAATGCTCATTCACTCAACAGTATTCATCTAGTATTGATTCAGAATATTCTAGGTGCTGGGGATACATCAGAAAACAGAATGTGTGAACATTGATGCCCTCATGGAGGTTACAGTCTCGTGGAAGGGAGATGGGCAATAAATATAATAAATGAGTTATAGTATATATTATGTCAAAAGATGATAATTGCTATGGATCAAAGTAAGATAAGGAAGATCAGTGAGTGAAGGTGGATTGCAATTTAAAAATAGGGTCATTTTCAAAGCTGTCTCATTCAGAAGGCAGTTTTCAGCAAAAACTTGAAGGTGTGTGTGAGAGAGAATTGAATAAGCAATTACAGAGAGGTGGAGGAGTGTGGGGATGAACAAAAAGAAATGAAGTTAGAGAGGTAACAGAGACCAGACAGTATCCAGCCTTGCAGGGTTTATTCTAAGAGAAATGGGGAGCTTTGTAGGGTTTTGAACATAAGAATGATTGGTGTGAAGCTCACTCTGGCTGCTCTGTTGGGAATTATCTGCAGGGTGAAAACGTGGAAGAGCTGAATAGAGGCCACTGCAATACCTGGGCCAGACAAGTGGTGTCTAGAAGGATGGTGGGAGTGGAGGAGGGGGAACTGGGCAGATTCTGAATGTATTTCCAAAGTTGGGACACCAGAAATTCCCGACAGATTAGATATGAGTATGAGAGAAAGAAAGGAGTCAAAGATGATTTCAAGGTTTTTGAATTGAGCAACTGAAAGGATTGTCATAACTGAGATGGTGAAGTCTGTACACAGAAAGCAGGTTTGGCAGGAAAAATCAAGACATATTTGGTTTTTAATACATTAAGACAGAGATGAAGAAGTGTGCTACACATCCAAGTGCAGCTACTGAACGGTCCAGAAATCAAAGGAGAGCTCTTGACTGGAGACAGATAGTTGGGAACGATCAGCATATTGGTGATGTTTAAAGCCAAGAGCTTGGATGAGATAACTAAGGGCTGAGGAGAGTGTGGACAGAGGTGAAAACAGGCCCAGGGACAATGTATTGGAAAGCTCTGTTATTAATTTGGGGTGAAAAAAGCTAGTAGAGGAGTCTGAGAAGGATCGATACAGTGAGGAAAACCAAGAGCCAAAGGAAGCAGGGAGAGACAGTGATGCCCTCTGTCACCACTCCCTACAGCCAAGTGATGCTAAGAGCTGACCACAGGAGTTTACATGTGAGGGGCATTGGCAACCTTGACAAAAGCAGTGTTGGTCGAACGGCAACAGTGCAAAGCCCGACAGGCATGTTTAAGAAGGAATGAAGAGGGACTTTGCTGGAGGACACGTGATTAAGATGCCTGCCAGTGCAAACGATGCTGGTTTGATCCCTGGCTGGGGAGTTAAGATTCCACATGCCTTGCAGCCAAAAAAAAAAAAAAAACCACAACAACAGTATATTAAAAAAGAGAAAGCAATATTGTAACAAATTCAATAAAGGCTTTAAAAACAGCCAATATCAAGAAAAAATTATGTTTTTAAATGGAGAGGAACTGCAGACAGTGAGTGCTGACAAGACTTCCAGGTGCTTTGTTATAAAAGGGGGAGCAGTGCGAGGAACCCATATTCACAGTGGAAGTGAAATCTGCAACCCCCAGAGGGAAGGGCATCTGGTGTCACAGTGGCTCCGGGGCCCCTCACCTCTGAGACCCACTTCAGCAAGTCTCTCAGAGCCTTCTGGCGGACTTCCTTTTGCCAGCGGTAGACGACGAAGCCTTGCAAGTGGAGTTCCTTAAAGATGATGACTTCCGGGGATGGGCCTGTGAAGAGGAGGGCACGTTTGAGCAGCAGGATGCAGGGAGGTGGCCATGGTGAAAACGCGCGTGGTACAAGGCACATCAGAGTTCCCCTAGTGCTCTGCCTCCTGTGTCCTCCACTCTTCCCGACCCACAGGGCTGCCCCAAAATCAACGTGCTCTCTGTGTGGGCAGAGTAACTGCCCCAAGACGTCCATGTCCTAGTTCCCAGAGCCTTTACTATGTGACCTTATGTGGCAAAAGGGACTCTGCAAATAGGACCAAGTTAAGAACCTTTAGATGGGGAGATTATTCTGTATTACATATGTGGGCTCACGTGAAAGTCCTTGTAAGGAAGAAAGGGATACAGGAAAACTAGAATCGAGAGAAAATATGTGATGATGAGAGCAGAGATCATAGAGACGGAGGGAGATTTGAAGATGCAGTGCTGCTGGCTTTGAAGATGGAAGAAGGGACCAAGAGCTAAGAGATGCAGGTGGCCTCGAGAACTTAAAAAGGCAAGGAATCTGAGCCTTCAGAAGGAAAGTAGCCCTGCTAACCCATTTTGAGCTCTAGACCTGTAAGGATAAATTTATGCTGTTTTAAGTCATTAAGTTTGTGGTAATAGACAGGACTGAGCACAACTCGCAGGTAGAAGACTCACCCCAGCTACATTTCTCTTGGGTAAAGGAGTGGAATCCTCATTTCCTCATCTTGGAAGAGGATGAAATCCTGTTCCTGGGATTGTCCACACTACTGGGGATGTCGTTTCTTTATTGTGAGCAGAAAACAAATATGGCATGAAAGCCAGGGGAAACAATTACTTGTCTCTGAGCTCCCCTAATAGTGAAACATGTTAGAGTTCCTGGAGATCACAGGCAGGCAGAATGTCACCTGCTTAAAATGGAATGGACAACACCAGCTGACATCTCATAACCTGTCTGAGCAGCTGAATTTCAAAAGGCTAGATCAAGTTACTGTATCCAAAATATTTGGCAGTGCTCAGGAAAATGCACCCTGGAGCTCTGCTCAATTGGCAGGAGAGGGATTCCCCAGGATTTTAGCTTAGCATCAATTAGAAAAATATGAAGGAAAAAAGTCCCTAATAAGATTCCCTGGTGCATCTGGAGTGTCACCTTTGACCTTTCACAACCCAACAGGGAATCTATAAGTGATCCTTCCTCAGCCCCTTTGACTCCCACCCACCTGTCTCAGTGTAGCCGAGGTGCTAACTAGCAGAGCTAAAGGTTTCTTCCCCACGAGTGAAGCCCATCATAGAACAAATAACTCATTTATTTATGGTTGTCAGGATCTTGATGGTGATCTGGATGATTCCTTTTTGTTTTTTTTCCCTCCTCTTGTTTTTTTTTTTCTTTTTTGACCACAAGTAAATCTGTAATCTCTTCAACAGCACAGAATCCTTGTAGCAGAAAGGGGTTCTATATGAGGAGTTCAGAAGATCGGCCTTTCTTTTGAGTCTGTCACTAATGCTTCCTTCGTGGTTCAGCTGGTAAAAAATCCACCTGCAATGCGGGAGACCTGGGTTCGATCCCTGGGTTGGGAAGATCCCCTGGAGAAGGGAACAGCTACCCACTCCAGTGTTCTGGCCTGGAGAATTGCATGGACTCTGTAGTCCAGGGGGTCACAAAGAGTTGGACATGACTGAGTGACTCACTTTCTGTCACTAATAGGATTGAAAGAGTCTCTGGTCCTTTTGCCCATTCATCTCCCCGCCTTTCAGTAAGAGACCTGGGCCTGGAGGTGGGAGGGGGAGGTCTCAGATAGGAGTGGAGAACAGGAGTAGAGGGCATGGCAGGGCAGAGGAGAAGCAAAGAAGGACAGTCCGGGGATGCAGAGAAAGGATGCTCCTTTCCCTTTTAGTGGAAATTGTCAGAGTGGTGAGGCCTGGCTGTTCTGCTGTTCCAGGAAGCTCTGCCCACTATTGTCTGAAGGAAAGGGCAGCCCATTTCCCCTGCACCCACTCAAGTCTACCCATCCCCAAACCTCCAGAACATCCCCAGTATCCTGGAGACCTCTAATATTTTACCAGTCAGACCAATGTGTTCTATTTCTAAATGATTTTTTACAACTTTGTAGAAAACAGTAAGTAAAAAAGCTAAAACTTTAAATAACTCTGTTTCGTCCATATTTTCAGATCCTGTTTTTTCTGTATATCAAAATCCAATATAAGCTGACTTAGCCCAAATATACAAAATTACATATTTTTAGTTAATACCATTTCATCAAGAATATTAGGAAATATTTAAAAATACTTCAGTAGTTACTGGCCTGTACCATATCTGTGAATCATCTCTTCCTCCCATCTTTCTACACCTCTGATTGTGTGCATGAGCTCATTACCTGGGGGAAGTGGGCCGGTTCTGTTGTATACAGAGATGGCCCCACATATAGCAATTCTTCCAAATTTCTTCATCTGGGTGATAGCAACGTTGGAAAACTCTCCACCCACCTAGCAGACAGGGAAACAAAAAACCAAAACCTTTAAATAAACCCTACCAGATTCGTGGGAATCATTAACTCACAATCATTATTTCACAATACTTGTTTTAGCAGCAATAACATTGATTAAGTTAGTAAGGCAGGGCTGAAAACCAAATTTAGAAAAAGACATTTTTAGAAGCTGGGCATTTTTATTTGACTGTAGGAACATAACTTGTATAACTAACTTATAAATTTTGCTTTATTATATTTTCGGAGAAGGCAATGGCACCCCACTCCAGTACTCTTGCCTGGAAAATCCCATGGACGGAGGAGCCTGGTAGGCTGCAGTCCATGGGGTCACTAAGAGTTGGACATGACTGAGCGACTTCACTTTCACTTTTCACTTTCATGCATTGGAGAAGGAAATGGCAACCCACTCCAGTTTTCTTGCCTGGAGAATCCCAGGGATGGGGGAGCCTGGTGGGCTGCTGTCTGTGGGGTCGCACAGAGTCGGACACAGACTGAAGCGACTTAGCAGCAGCAGCAATAATCTCATTTCCCTTATCCAGAGGTATGAGACAATAACTCAGAAGCCATATAAAGAACAAAGTTGGAAGACTCATAATTTCCAATTTCAAAACATACTACAAAGCTATATTAATCAGACAGGATGGGAACAGAAACAGATCAATGGTACTAAACTGAGAGTCCAAAAGTGAGCCCTCACATTTGTTGTCAATTGATTTCTGAGAAGAGTGCCAAAATAATTCAACAGGAGAAAAAACATCTTTTTGACAAATGGTGCAGAACAACTGTAGGCATCTACAAAGAAAAGAATGAAATCGGACTTCTTCCGTACAGGATACACAAAAATTAACTTAAAATGTGTTATAGACCTAAATGTAACAGCTAAAATGATTAAACTCTTAGGGGAAAAAACACAGGGGTAAACATTTTGTGACCTTGGATAAGGAGAAGCCTTCTTAAACATGACACCAAAAGCCCAAGCAACAGAATTTGGACTTCATCAAAATTTAATACTTTTGTGCTTTCAGGATACCATCAAAAAAGTAAAAGGAAAAAAAAAGAAGGTGAAAGCAACTTAGAGAATAAGAGAAAATATTTGCAAACCATATACAGGAGGTATTTTAATTAAAAATATACTAGTATATTCCATATTTGAGAATTGGATTACTTGCTAAAATTTATTTATAACTCCAGAATCAATACTCAGAGCCTTCTCTGCTCATTCACAGACATAGTTCCCAGCTAAGGTCAAAAAAGGCCAAGGGTCTGGTTTCTTTTTTCAACTCTCATGCAGAGATTACCAGAAGATGAAGACAGTAGGGGGCAGTGCGGAGTGGTTCAAGAAGCTCCAGTCCTGGGGCCGGTTGGATGGGGTGTGAATGTCAGCTGTGGGAGGATTAGTTGTGGCAGAGGCTCAGACAAGTTACTTAACACTTTTTAACCTCACTTAAAAAAAAAAAAAAGAAAGAAAATAGAAGCTATGAGAAGGACTTAAGATCATAATCCATGTAAGATACATGCATGTATGTTGTACGCTTCCAGTTGGATCAATGGATCAGTGTTTGTGGCAACTTTATAGACTATAACAACCAGGAATACTGAGGACTGACTGTATCTGATAAGGGACTTGTATCCAGGATATATAAAAAAAAATTGACAACTCAACAGATAACCCAACTGAAAGTTGGTGAAGGATTTAAGCAAACATTTCTCCAAAGAAGACATACAAATGGCTGCTAAGCACATGAAGAGATGTTTAATATTATTAATGACTGAAAAAATGCAAATTAAAACCTCAACGAATTATCACTTCAAACTCACTAGAATAGCCACAATCGAAATGACAGATAATAAATACAGTAAAGGTTTAGGAAAATTGAAACCCTCACAGTTGCTGGTGAGAATGTAAAATGGTGCAGCCATTTTGCAAAATAGTATGGCATTTCCTCAGTCACTGCGGATGGCGACTGCAGCCATGAAATTAAAAGATGCTTGCTCCTTGGAAGAAAAGGTATGACCAACCTAGACAGCATATTAAAAAGCAGAGACATTACTTTGCCAACAAAGATCTGTCTAGTCAAAGCTATGATTTTTCCAGTGGTCATGTATGGGTGTGAAAGTTGGACTATAAAGAAAACTGAGTGCCAAAGAATTGATGCTTTTGAACTGTGGTGCTGGAGAAGACTCTTGAGAGTCCCTTGGACTGAAAGGAGATCCAACCAGTCCATCCTAAAGGAGATGAGTCCTGGGTGTTCATTGGAAGGACTGATGTTGAAGCTGATGTGAAGAACTGACTCATTGGAAAAGATCCTGATGCTGGGAAAGATTGAAGGCAGAAGGGGACGAGAGAGGATGAGATGGTTGGATGGCATCACCGACTCAATGGACATGAGTTTGAGTAAACTCTGGGAGTTGGTGATGGACAGGGAGACCTGGTGTGCTGCAGTCCATCAGTAGCAAAAGGTTGGCCATGACTGAGCGACTGAACTGAACTGGACTGAACTGAACTGAACTGAACTGATGGCAGTTCCTCAAAATGTTAAACATGGTGATACCATATGACCTGACAATTCTGCTTGTAATCAAGAGAAATGAACATTTATATCCACACAAAAACTGCATATGAATGATCAAAATAGCATTATACTTAATAGCCAAGTGTGAATGACTCATTTGCCGATCAACTGATGGATGATTGATAAAATGTGATGTGTCCATACAATGGAATATTTTTGGTCATAAAATGCAATGAAGCAACACTGAAAATCAACTATATTTCAATGAAAAAATGTATAAAAAGGAATGAAATACTGATAAACATGCTACAACATGAGTGGATTTTGAAAACATGTTAAGTGTAAGAAGCCAGTCACCAAAGATCACTTTAGGAGGACTGACTGCTACTTAGCACAGCATTTCTTTTTGGAGTGATGAAAATGTTCTAAAATTGTGCAAAGAGTTGTACAATTCTGTGAACACACTAAAAATGATCAAGTCTTATACTTTAAATGGGTAAATTATATCCCAATAAAGCTGTTTTTTATTTTTTATTTTTGTTAAATGCCTTCAAAAAATTTTTTTTAATTATTTATTTATTTGCCTGCACTGGGTCTTAGTTAACGGCATGTGGGATCTTCAGTGGTGGCATGTGAACTCTTATTTGTGGGATCTAGTTCCCTGACCAGGGATCAAACTCAGGCCCCTTGCATTGGGTGCAGGGAGTCTGCCATTGAGCCACTGGGGAAATACCAATAAAGCTGTTTTTTTAAAAAGGGCATATGGGCTTTCCTCATATATTTCATATGGAAACTCTAGACGTAGATTTCCTGGTATAGTACTTTGTTAGTAAGTCAAATATTAAGTCTAATTTGTACTTACATTATCAAAATAACAATCATAACCCTCAGGAGCGGCTACTTTCAGAGCTTCTTCCAAAGACTTTACTGTTTTGTAGTTAATGGCAACATCAAATCCATGCTTTTTAAGCCAAGCAACTTTTTCATCAGACCCTGCTGTTCCAACAACTTTGCAGCCCTAAATGGGGAGACAAATGAAAACCATTTATAAACCACATCCAGGGCCAACTCTACCCTCCTAGACTAGAATGGCCAGGTTCTCCCAGAACAGCCTCCTAGGTGCTGAGTCACATATATAATGGGTCAACAGACCCTGGAGGTTAGATTAGTCCCTAAACTAGCCTATGATACAACCCAGATGTAACTTCAGCTTGCCTCTGCCCACCCAACAGATCCCTCCTACGTTTAGGTGGTTGGCAGCTCTTTTCAACTTTGAGAGCCTACTCATTAGACTCTCCTGTTTCTTCATGTTGGGGCTCCTCCCTGCTATCTCTTGGTGCAGTGGCACTTTAGACTGTAATTTTGGTTCAGCCCTGTAACTCTCATATCATAGAGAGACCTCTAGGTAACTGCCCCATATTCTGTGATTTGGCCCAAAGCGTTGGCTTAAATACTGCCTAATCATAGAGGAAGTGGAGTGCATTCAGCGTGAGAACAGAGATTATATTGGCACATAGAGTAGCTTTTTAGAAAGTTCTATTCTGAATGCATCGTGAAGACCAGAATATCAGCCTCTGTTCACTTTCACCTGGATTGGGTACATACCATGTATGTATCTGCACAAACAGCTGCCATATAGTTTTTTCACTCATTCCTGATTCAAGAAGAAATGATTTTGCACAGTCTCTAGCCTTGGTCCTTGTTCCTTCTAAGCATACACTCTCATGGGATGATCTCATTTACTCTTACCACCTCACTGCCACCTTCCTGCAGATGATTCCCTTGCCTCTTAACTCCAGCCAGGCCTCTACCCTGAGTTCCAAATCAGTATTTCTAAAGACCTCTACTAATCTACACTTGGATAGCCCATGGAGCCTCATAATCAATGTGTCTAAAGTGGAATCTGTTTTTTTCCTTGCTTCTTACCTGGTGTTCCTCCTCTGTTCTCTATTGTAGTGAGTGATACTCAGTCACCCAGTTAACCAGACCTGAAACACGTGGGTCGGAGGAGATGCTTGCTTTCTGCCCTCTTGCTATCCACATCCAATCACCAGGTTTTATTCTTTTTCACCAAATATCCTTAAAAGTTTCTTTTTGCTTTTTTTTTTTCCTTTTCGTTTTTTCTTATTTTTCTTTTGATTTCTTTTAGGGGCTTCTTATTTTGCTTTTTTTTTCTTGTTTTCTTTTCCTTTTGACTTTTTTTCCAAGGGCCAGGTTGTTTTTTTTAAGTTCAGGGTTTAGGCTTGTCACTCCTCTAAGGATTAAGCACTGACTTCTTAGCATGGCAGTTGCTAGTGAAGTTTCTAAAAGAACAGGTTTAAGGATAAGTCCTATCAAACTTTTGAAATAAAAATTCCTTTAAAAAAATTATTTTTTTAACGATACCATGTGGTGTGAGGGCTCATACTTCCCTGACCAGGGACTGAACCTGCGTTCTCAGCAGAGAAAGCACAGAGTCCTAACCATAAGGCCATTAGAGAATTCCCCCCAAAAAATCCCTTAAAATTTTAATAAAACATTTAAAATTTGAATTTTGGAAATATTACTAGTTCATTTTAAAGTCTAGTATAATCCAAAGCTAAACCCTGATACGTTCCAAACTTTAAACCAAACTCACCTATGAATATAGATGCAAATATTCTATATATAATGTTATTAGATCAATTCCAAAAGTATAAATTTAATATATACCATAGGTAAATAAAGATTATTCCAGAATTCTATTATGGTTTAAGATTAGGAAACTAACATAATTCTTTAACTGCAAAGTATGATAAAATTCAACATTTATTCTTATTTATTTACTTATTTAAATAAATTCTTCCTGCAACCACTCTGATAGCCTCATCTATTTGTATTCCAAGTGCCCATCAGCACTGGATACCAGCCCGAACACTTGGCTGTTGGTCATAGCCCTGTACTCATCTGTATTCTCCCTAACTCTTTCACTAGAAACTAGGCCCTGAAACTAGGTCCTGCATCCACCCTCTGGCAAAGGATCAGCCAAACCAGATCACCTTGGAACATTTCTATAATGCGGTACATCCTGACCACATCTGAGCTGCCTGATGTCTTGTACTCCCACCATCAGATCAGATCTCTTGAGCACAAACACCCGTCCATATCAGAGCCAGTGTTTCCAAGGCCTGGGTGCCTCCCGTGAGTTAATTTCCAAGCTAGGGCCCCACTGCTCTGGGCTGACTGCAGTAACCTTTGAAATGGGGCCATAGGGGCAATGACTCTTGGTTGGCTGATCAAGTCCCTTCTTCAGTTGTTTGGGGCAATCACGAAGAAAGGAGATTAAGTTGTAACAAGAAACATACAGTAAAAACTGCGAGAATAGTTCACCAACTCACTAGCAGAATCCATTCCTGATGTGATACCTGCAATGTTATCAAATAACAATGTTCAGGTCACCATTGCTACACCATTTCCCCTGATCCCCCCATTTCTCAGTCATTCCCAGTATCCACCTTCTAAAAGAGGTCAACTAGACCAAACTCCCGGAGATGAGGCAAGGTCTGCTGTGTCCACTGCTGCATTCCCAGTTCACACTGTGGGTGTCAAGTCAGTGGTTGTTATGGAGGAAGACACTTACCTTGAGCTTAGCAATCTGCCCCACAACAGAGCCCACTGCTCCTGCTGCCGCACTAACCAGCACTGTTTCTCCACCCTTCACTCCACAGATGTCAAACAGGCCAAAGTAGGCTGTTAGGCTGAGGGAAGAAAAGCAAGACTATGTGGATGAATTTGTTTCTTTCCTCGGTATCTCATTTACTTATACCCTGAAGACCTTCTCAGCAGCCCAATGGCATGGGTCCAGGTAAAAGACAGAAAATATAGGAAATGGATATTACCAGCCACCAATGGTCCGCTTCCTCCTTCTTTACCTCCAGGAAAGGAATAAAGATGATGGGAACTATGGATGGAACAGCGAGGTGGCTCGAAGAGAGCAGTATCCTATCCATCTCCAGGCCAGCTTTCAAGGGTGAAGGAAAATTGGTTCCCCTTAAACCTTAGGGATCCCAGAACAGACAACTTATGCCTCATTCTCATGTAAATCCTAGGGAGATGATGAGCTTCATGGAGAAAGCCTCCATGTCATCATGGCGCCCTAGTCCCAGAGCAGATATGACTGTATGTGGATGGTATCTAGGCCTGAGGGGGTCAGGGAGAAACACCTTGAGTTTCCCATGCTCTGAAGTGTGTGGAAGAACTCCTACAGCTCCCCCATCTTGTTTGGAGTGAAATGCTAAAGTCAGCTGGCAGGGAAAGAACTAGTGGGCCTGCAAAGATGCAGCTCAGACAGCACCCAGTGGTGACTAGGTGAGGAAACCACCATGCCTCAGTGGACTTCCAGCTCAGAAGGGATGTGGCTGAGGACTCAATCGGAAAAGTTATGCTTTGAGACTGATGATCAGCACCAGACTAAGACAGATCAAGAGCAAGAAGTTGCTGTCCCCGCCTTTATTGGCACCAGGTTTGTGTTAGCCCTGGGAGCTCTGCATCTATCCTAGGGAGAAGACAAAGGAAATTATGAGTATGATCCTGAAATGATGTGAGAAATCATTGGTTTAACTAAGGTTTATTTTACTATACCAGCTGGAGACAGAAATGAAACACAGGTGTAGAGTTCTATTTTTGTACCCCTGAGTCTGAGCCCATGAAGCCTGTTCCATCACGGTGATTGTTGAGCCACTGGCAAAATTTCAGACAGAGTCCTAGAAAGTTATTTCTGTGTAAAACAAAGCTACACACTGGCATAACTTAAGCTTACTCAGCCTCTGATTACATTTGAGGGCCAGATAGAGTTGGGCATTGGAGGGAAAGCTAAGAAAGGCAGACAGCACTTTTTCTGAGGACCCACATATCTAAAGTTCCCTTGACCCAGTGTTTTTCAAAAGATGGATGAAACAACCATCTGCCTCAAAATCAACTGAAGTTTTATTAAAAATTTGGATTCCCAGTCCCACTGATTTAAAAATACTGAGATGAGGAAATTTGAATTTAATAGGACTCTAGGTAATTCTTATGAATGCAAACAACTGAGAACCACTACCTTAATGGATGCTGATACCAGAGTGTGTGGATAAGTTAACCTAACTCCCAGAAAGAAGCAGAAGGTATATTTCAGATAGGGTCAAGCCACCCACAACAATCCTTAGGCCCCCTCCCGCAATTTCCTTTCTAGATATTTGCAAAGTCAGTGTTCAATTAGATATACTGACTTAAGACATACAAGGTCTTTCCCAAACATCATCTTTTAAAAGTAAACTGGAGAACTTCCCTGGTGTTACAGTGAATAAGTATCCACCTGCCAATGCAAGGGACATGAGTTCAATGCCTGGTCTGGAAAGATTCCACATGCTGCAGAGCAAGGAAGCCCATGTGCCACAATTACTGAAGCCCATGCACTCTGGAAATGGCAACCCACTCCAGTATTCTTGCCTGGAGAATCCTGTGGATGGAGGAGCCTGGTGGGCTGCTGTCCATAGGGTCACACAGAGTCAGTCACGACTGAAGCAACTTAGCATGCATGCATGCATTGGAGAAGGAAAAGGCAACCCACTCCAGTGTTCTTGCCTGGAGAATCCCAGGGATGGGGGAGCTTGGTGGGCTGCCGTCTATGGGGTTGCACAGAGTCGGACACGACTGAAGTGACTTAGCAGCAGCATGCACTCTGGGGCCTGTAAGCCTCAACAACGGAAGCTCCTGGGCCTACAGCCTGTGCTTCACAACAGGAAAAGCCCCTGCAGTGAGAAGCCCATGCACCCCAAGGGACACCAGCCTCCACTTGCTGCAACTTGAGAAAGCCTGAGTGCAGCAAGGGAGACCCAGCACAACCCCCCAAAATTAATTAAAAAGTAATAAACAAATAAAAGTAAACTGGAGATAAGATGGAGAGGCCAACAATGAAGAAATCCTATAGGGAAAATTAAAGGTATGCTTTGTGTTGTTTGTTTTTTTTAAATAATATTTGTTTTTATTTATTTCTTTGACTGTGTTGGGTCTTAGTTGCTGCATGTGGGATCTACTTCCCTGACCAGGGATCGAACCCCGGGCCCCCTGCATTGGGAGCATGGAGCCTTAGCCACTGGACCACCAGGGAAGTCCCAAAGGTATGCTTTGGATGAAGGGTGACTGGATAGAATCAACATGTTGGGGAGAAAAACACTTAAACTCTTTCAGCCGAAGAAGAAGACAGAGGTCCCATTGATAGAAATAATGCAATACTTTGGGAGGATGTGAAATCTTTGGAGCCTGGACAGCTGAAAGTCCCTAGGTTTCAAAGTTCAACTTCTTTCATAGATTAGCGGAAGCTCCTGGATTCTGGAAGTGTTGACCCATCCTGTTGGTAAGTGGCTCATCTACGCAAAAATTCTCAAAGAATGGGTGATGTGTGGGTAGGGGAGGCTAGAAATGTGGCTTGTATAACCCCTCCCACTCAGTCTTTGAGAACCACTGTATGAAGTTAATTGGAGTAAAAATGTACTTCTTAGGGACTTGGAACAGGTGAATGAGAAATATACCCACAAATGAATAATCTTCTGTTTTAGAATTCAAATCTCCTAATATTTTACAAATTACTTTCTCTCCAACTAAGTCATGGGAGACTGACCCTGTGGTTTCCTCGTGTCTGCCTTCACCCCGTGCTCCTACCCCTGGGTCACAATTTAGAGAGAAGGACGGGTGGAATAACAAGGCGAGAGGAAGTGCTGTCACCATAGAGGGTACAGGCCAGGCAGGAAGGATCGAGAAGGGCTGTCATTCTGTTTAGTGCCCACTATCTGCATGTAAGAAGGCATTGCTGAGTCACTTCGGTAGGGTCTGACTCTTTGCAGCCCCATGGATTGTAGCCCACCAGACTCCTCTGTCCCTGGGATTCTCCAAGCAAGAATACTGGAGTGGGTTGCCATGCCCTCCTCCAGGGAATCTTCCTGAACCAGGGATCAAACCTGGTTGAATCTCCTGCATTGGCAGGTGGGTTCTTTACCACTAGCACCACCTGGGAGGCCCAAGAAGGCATTACTGCTAAGTCACTTCAGTCGTGTCTGACTCTGTGTGACCCTGTCCCTGGGATTCTCCAGGCAAGAGCACTGGAGTGGGTTGCCATTTCCTTCTCCAATGCATAAAAGTGAAAAGTGAAAGTGAAGTCGCTCAGTCATGTCCAACTCTTCGTGACCCCATGGACTGCAGCCTACCAGGCTCCTCTGTCCATGGGATTTTCCAGGGAAGAGCACTGGAGTGGGGTGCCATTGCCTTCTCCTCAAGAAGGCATTAAGCATCCTCTAATTTCACAATGTTGTCTCGAGGAGTTCAAATTCTGAGTGTTACATGAACTTGAGATGTAAGAGATTGGTTATGCAGGAGGCTGATCATTCATTTCATTCCATGAAATGAATAATGTTTCATTCTCTAGAAGTCCTCCAAAAGGTTAAAAAGAAGGAGGGCAGAAGAGTGGGAAGAAGGAAAGAAGGAAGAAAAGGATCACATAGCTTAGAACAGTTTTGGGGACTCTGAAAGGAATTCTGTCAACCTTGCTTCTCCAGCGCATGAGAAGAACCTTGAGGCGCAGAGAGCAGCGGGGGCCTGGAGAACAGACACAGGGTGAACTGACCAGGAGTCTTCCTGAGGGCCAGGCCAAGAGACACCGGGCTATTTTAAAGCTGTCCACACTGAGTGACTGTACAACTATTGTGATTCATCTCAGTTATTAAATTTCAGATCCTTTGACACCTCTGGAAACTCAGACGTCGAAAGGAGGTGAGGGATCAGAGATGATACAGAAAGGCCAAGGTGCATTGAACTCTCTCTCCCTTTCCAGCTCTGAAATGGAGGCAGATGAGTGAGGGGTGAAGGAGGACCTTTCCAGGGACAGAAGGAGCTGGTTCTTTTGTGTCACCACTTGCCAGGGGCTTGAGAGGCACCATGCCCCCTGCTGTTCCTCACTGTCACTTCCTCCTTGTACCTGACCCTGCCTCTCTCCACTTCCACCCCAAAGCGAACTCCAGCCCCTCTTATTCCCTTCTTAGTCCCATCATCCTCTCTAATCCACTCCTGAGCTTAGAATGCCTCAAGTCTCTTCTTGTTAATCAAGCTCCGGACCAACCATTTTGGAAAACCAGGGATTCAAACGAGTGAAATATACCCATGAAACTCACCCGGGCATGCCAACCGTTCCCAGAGCCAGAGACAGTGGTAATGTGTCTGGCCACTCTGCAAGCACCTTTTCCAGTTTTTCCCCATCAGAAATGGAGTGTGTTGTCCAGCCGGAAGGAGCCACCACAATAGTTCCCGTTGGGAAGGCTGAATTTTTACTTTCCACAACTCTGAAAGAGAAAGCACATTCAGACACGTGAGACCCCTTCCTTTCAAGGGAGTCTGGATGCTGCATGGTTAGTGTCCACAAAGGGGCACTGAGTTTGATAGTCCTTGATCAAATACCCTACCACATCTCTCCATCAGAATTCTTAGCCACTGGTCTCTCCTTGAGAAAAAAACATGGGCCATCAGAGAGGAATTCTCAGCTGGTCCAGCATCTGTCCCTGCCATCACTCACTCCTCTCTAAGCAAGAGAAGTGCATCCTCTGGCTCAAGGTAACCTGGACATCAGCCTCTTCTTTTCTTCAGGAACTACCCTTCATCTCTTAGCCCTTCCTTTCTCTTGAGTCCTCAACGTTCCCTCTCTCACTGTCCCTCTCCCTCAGCATGGAAGTATGATCTCCTTCACTATCGTTTAAACTCATCCTATATGAAGAAAACTGTTAATAGGCCATGAGACAAAAATGGATAAATGAAGAGATATATACCTTGTGCTTGGAGAGAAATATTGTAAATAAATCAGTTTCCCCTAAATGAATCTATAAAGTCATGGAAATCCCAATAAAAATCCAAATAGAATTTCAATAAATGGTATTATAACTTGCTAGTCATTTGAAGCATAAACATTTTAGTCCTTGCTCCAAAATAAAAATTAAATGTCTAGAAGATAAAATATAACATACTAGAAGAAAAAGTGAATAAATATTCTAGCAATTTTGGAGGAGAGGATGTCATTCTAATCATGAAATTTTGTCACATAAAATTTTTCAGTTATGATTGGACGCAAAAGAAAGATAAACAAAGGCCCAAATGTTTTCAGTACTAATATTCATAACACACAAGAAATTTTATAGATCAATTTAAAAGATGAAAAGACTTAAAAGGGCAAATGACATGAACAGATAATTCACAGAAGAAAGGCATTAATTTACAAAGAGAATGTCAACATCACTAATAATGAAAGAAATGCAAATTAAACTAAGCATTGAGTAAGCAAGATCAATTAAGTATCATTTATTCACCTCAGATTGCCAAGAGTGATAGTTAGCAATGATCATATAGCTACCAAGGAAATAGGTTCTTTAAGACACTATTGGTAGGAATGGATATAATCTTTTTGAAGTGAAATCTGTTGTTATCTCTTCAAATTAAAATGTACATCTTCTCTGACCTAGAGTTTACACTTCTGGGAATTCAACATAAAGCGATAGTCATCCAAGTGGGCAAAGAATACAGAGATATACTCCGATCGATGTATGCATATTCCTTGCAGAACTATTTCCAGTGGAAAAAACTGGAAACAACTGTTGTTAGGAGTAGATAAGTTAAATGTCAGGTATCAATGGAAATGAGCTTCTCAGGTGGCTCAGTGGTAAAAGAGTCTGCCTGCCAATGCAGGAGATGCAGTTTTGACCGCTGATCTGGGAAGATCCCCTGCAGTAGGAAATGGCAACCCACTCTAGTATTCTTGCCTGAGAACCCACGGACAGAAGAACCAGGAGGACTACAATCCATGGGGGTTGCAAACAGTTGGACTTAGTGACTGAACAACAATAAAAACAATGGCATAATCTGCAAGCCATTAAAAGGTAAGTGGTATATTTATACACTGTCAACAAAAGATAGTCATGACATATTGAGGGAAAGTAATTTGCTGAAGGGCTTTTAATCCCCTTAAAGATTATAAATATTAGTACGTGTACTGAACAAGTTTTGAAATAATAATACATTAATGACAGTCATCTCTAAGGTTCAGATGATGGGGGAACTTTCAGTTTCCAATATATAAATTTTTATCTTATTTGAATTTTTATAATAATCAGTAACTGCATGAATACACTTTTTTTTTTAGTACTTAAAAGTAAGGATAGCAAAGCAAAGTTGCAATGATAAGAATTTCACCTTCTTCCCTCCCCATCAGCTAGTCAGGAAAAGGACAGATTTCCCAAGTTCTTTCCAAGGTTGAACAGTGAGTGACCCGCGCAAGCTGAAGAAATTGTAGGAGTGATGGACAGAAACAGGGCCCAGTAAAAGGTAAAGGGGAGACGTATTTTCCAAGTACTAGGACAAGAGGAAATCACTACCTGGCCACTTGCTCTCCCATCATCATGTCACCCTCCTTCAAGCTTTTTGCCATAATTCTGAAACAAAACAAAACCATTCTTAATATACAGGAGCATCTGGGAAAAAACAGTCTTAAGTTTCAAGCCAAATGGAAAACCACTAGGGAAGTGTGAATAAAACTGAAACCCAGCCAGCCACATGAGGGCAGTACAACTGGGTGAAACAGGGGGAGGAAAGCTGTGACAGGCGGTTCTGATCTGGTGGCATTTTTCTATGAAATGAACATAAGAATCTTACCATCATGCTCAATTGTGGCTGAATTTCTACCAATGACTTTGAAAACATAACCCAGGTACCACTGGGCACTCGTTACCCAAAACACCAGACATGCATGAAAAAAGAAGTGCTAGTTAACATCTGGAAATACATTTTTCACTTTAGATTTGAATCTCTATCAATCAACTATGAAAAAAAAATTATTTAAAAGAATGATGACTGCAGTGTTCACCTAGGCAAAAAGTTATTGAGTCAGCGGCCAATGAAAGCTTTTATTCCCTCCCCACCCCGAACTGCTTACTAAGTACACACAGTTTAGTCAGCTGTGGATTACCTAAATTACAAGAATATATGTAAAGGAAAGGCAAGAAAATCTAATTTTAGCCTCAGCCATCTTCCTCTACCCAAATTATTTGTGAACAGTGACATGGAGAAACTGGAGTTTGGCTTCTTTCTTCTTTCAGTGTTTTGGGAAGCAATTCTGGTGAATGATGAGGGGCAAATGGAACACAGTAAGATAGGGGATGCTCGTAAAATAAAGGGGCCAGTGTTGTCTACCACCATTCTGTTCAGACTTTTGCCTGAAAAAGATGAGCATCCATGAATCCCATCACTGACATCATACTGGGAGAAATGGGGAAGTGACAGTGTTTTGAATCAGCTGGGATATTCTAAAGGATTGCCCATGGCAAGATAGTATCCAATGCACAACATAAGAATTTTCCAGAGGAAAATAATACCTCATGTAAGGATCCACGGTGAAGTACAAAGCTTCCAGCAGGATCTCTGCAAAATAAAACATTCCACAGGCAATTAGAAACCTTGGCCTTGTGCCTCATCTCTGGCCTTCTCAATGAACAAAGACAGTCTTTCTGCTTCAGGCTTATGCTCTCATCTGTGCTTTCTGGGTTTTTGTTTCTTTGTTTATTTTTTGTTTTAGAATTAATTTTGAACATTTATTCTCGTCATTACAATTTGACGTATGAAGACATCAGACATATAAGTAAACATTGGGAAGCACACGTCTATTTCCATTCTGAAAGACATCATGTTACATTTACAGAAAAAAAATGCAGTAAATATTACGGTATTCAAAGTAATCTTTTGACAAGTCAGATATGGCATACTTACAACAAAAGTAAAAGTTTTAAAATAATCGAATAATTTTCACAGAATTATAAAAGTACTGAGATAAAGAGACCCTGAAACTCATAAGAACATTTTCCCATGCTATTGAATACAACGGTAGTTCTATAAAAAGTCCCAAAATAAAGCTAATATTTTTCCACTCTGAAGTATATTAAATTACCATACCAAAATATTAAAATGAACATGCAATGTGGAAGCTGTACCAAAGAAAACAGCATTAAAGTCCTGAATATTGACAACCGTCTGCACAATATGTCTTAGGTGTGTTCATGAAAAATGAGCTTTCTAAAAGAGCCGATGTAATGGATATATCTGCAGAGAAAGAGAATAAAGCCTTTTCATTCTGTCATTTTCAAATGTAACTGCGAAAAAGAAAAAAAATCTAATATAAGTTTTCAAGTATTAGCTCATGAATAAAAATGTGGAGTGGTACATTTATACATTTGGATTTTTAAACTGATGCTATGATCATTATACTATAATAGATAGTAACACCTCTAGACCCCAACACTGTAGTAAGAAATCCACTCCCTCTTTCTCTTTCTCAAACAAGAAGTCATCTTAGAAAATGGAAAGGAGAAACAGTGACATGTGTGAATTCAAAACAACACAGTACTGTAATGTGGCAAAAAAAATCATAAAAACAGCAGCATGTGAAATTCAAGACTATTTTCTTAAAGCAAATGTTTAAGACTGAACCATAAAAACACTACTTGGTCATACTGGTCTATTATTCAACTCCTGTAAATAATGACTTTTTAGAGAAGCGCTTATATTTATGATATCCCCATGATTAAATGTATACTCAAATTTGTGTTTTAAAACATATATTGAGGGACTTCCCTGGCAGTCTAGTTAAAACTTAACCTTCCAATGTAGGGGGCTAAAATCCCCTACATTTGGGGCCAAAAAAACAAAACATAAAACAAAGGCAATAATGTAACAAATTCAATAAAAGACTTTAAAATTGGTCCACATTAAAAAAAACTCTTTAAAAAAGACACATCTAAAATATAAATACTACACAGATAGTAGAATAACAGTATTCCAGTATCTCTAACACAAAATGGTATGTTATTTAGCACATTAACCTATGCTACTGAAAATTAATTTTATCCCAATTGTATAAAACCCATCAGGGAGGACTTTTGAGTACACTAATCTCAAAACATTCCTAAACAAGATAAAAAAATACAGACACGTGAATATAGATTATTAGTGACAAAAAGCAGAGACTACAGTCACATGACTGAGGGTCTTTACATATAAACTTGAGGTCCTTACATATAAATTTGAGGTCTTTCACTGATCCAGATGTAGAAGTAACAGCCAAAGAGCCGACATACTGGAAAGGACCCTGATGCTGGGGAAGACTGTGGGCAAAAGAAAAGGGTGACGAGGATGAGATGGTTGGATGGCATCATTGACTCAATGGACATGAATTTGAGCAAACTCCAGGAGCCTTTACATATAAACTTGAGGTCTTTCACTGACCCAAACATGGAGTAAGGATTATTGAGGAAACTTTGACAAGAAAATCAAATCTCCAAGAAATATCACGGCAAAGAATTTTCACTTAATAAAGCAATAAATGTTGTACATCTTGACTAAAGTTTTACAAATGTCCGAGTTATAGCTATTTGAATTCTAATTCTCCCCCTTTCTCCACTCCAGTACAACCCACAACCCTTACTGATAGTCCAATAATATCCTCTATGGAAAACTCACAGCTCACCTTGAGATCCAGAGCATCAAAAATGGTTAAAATTTCAAAATCGTCCAATTTATAGTATACATTTTACAGCACCACAGATGTCAAGAGTTTAGACATCTTTGGTACTATTTCATTCAATAATATTAACCAGTAAGGATGCGTAGAGTTTGAACGACTAGTCACAGTAGCATTTTAAAAATAACCAAAATACTTAGGAAACATTTTCATGTTTTAAATTGTGAAACATTTAAATTGTCAGACTCACTGGGAAAAAAATGTCACACACACACTTTTATCACCCCATGAGAACAAAGCATCAGACAGTTGCTACTGAGACACACTAGGGCTTTTTTCTTTTCTTTTTATTTTTTTCATAACAAAGCTCAAGTGTTTATTAAGAATTAATTTTCTTTTCTTTGTAAAAGAAACTGTTTCCGAGCCCAAGCTCATTCTGCTCACCAGAGTGTGGAGGGGCTCCCTCTGGCACTGACCAGGGGTGAGCAAAGCCGCTATTGCACCCTGAGCAGAAAGATGTGACCCAAGAAAGCGGCCGGGTCTCAGGAAGCAACGGGCGGCTCTAGCAAGGTCATCCTCCAGCTCTCAAGGAGTGAGACGTGTGGGGAGCAGAAACCGAGGTGGCCACGCAGGGGGAGTTGACACGCCTGTTCTTGGGATCGCTGTCTGAGGTGGCCGGCACCGTGGGTTCAGCCTGCCACCTGGCTTCCCCGGTCATTTTGGACTGATGAAGTGGCCGGGGAGCTGGCGTCCCCGGAGCGGAGCTCCCACTGGCCGCCTGCACAGTGAGTGGGCAGTGGGCACAGGCTGGTCTGGTGGGTTAGAGCTGTGGCGGAGTGGCCGCTGCCTTCGAGGCCCATGCCAGCTGGCTCCAGGGAGAGAGGAAGGAAGGGCCCATCACACTTTGGGTTGGGGAGGCCACACAACACTACATTTAGTCAGGTTACTCCCTAACTTCTTGGCTTGCTGTTGTCTGACTTTGCGACCCCAGAGACTCAGTACGCCAGCCTTCCCTGTCCTTCACTATCTCCCTGAGTTTGCTCAAACTCATGTCCATAGAGCCGGTGATGCCATCCAGCCATCTCACCCTCTGCCACCCCTTTCTCCTTTTGCCCTCAATCTTTCTTAGCATCAGGGTGTTTCCCAATGAGTCAGTTCTTCACATCAGGTGGCCAAAATATTGGAGCTTCAGCTTCAGCATCAGTCCTTCCAATGAATATTCAGGACTGATTTCCTTTAGGGTTGACTGGTTTGATCTCCTTGCAGTTCAAGGGACTCTCAAGAGACTTCTCCAGTACCACAGTTCAAAAGCATCAATTTTTCGGCCCTCAGCTTTCTTTACAGTCCAACTCACATCCATGCATGACTACTGGAAAACCATAGCTTTGACTATACAGACCTTTGTCAGCAAACTAATGTCTTTGCTTTTTAATATGCTGTCTAGGTTTGTCATAACTTTCCTTCCAAGGAGCAAGCATCTTTTAATTACATGGCTGCAATCACCGTCTGCAGTGATTCTGGAGCCCAAGACAATAAAATTGGTCACTGCTTCTAATTCTTCCCCTTCTATTTGCCTTAAAGTGATAGGAACAGATGCCATGATCTTAGTTCTTTGAATGTTGAGTTTCAAGCCAGATGTTTCACTCTCCTTTTTCACCCTCATCAAGAGGCTCTTTAGTTCCTCTTTGCTTTATGCCATTAGAGTGGTATCATCTACATATCTGAGGCTGTTGATATTTCCCCCAGCAATCTTGATTCCAGCTTGTAACTCATCCAGCCTGGCATTTCACATGATGTACTCTCCATAGAAGTTAAATAAACGGCTGACAATACAGCCTTGTTCATACTCCTTTCCCAATTTTGAACCAGTCAGCTGTTCCATGTGAAGTTCTAACTGTTGCTTCTTGACCTGCATACAGGTTCCTCAGGAGACAGGTAAGCTGGTCCTGGTATTCCCATCTCTAAGAATTTTCCACAGATTTTTTTTTTTTCCCACAGATTGCTGTGATCCACACAGTTAAAGGCTTTAGTGTAGTCAATGAAGCAGAAGTAGATGTTTTTCTGGAATTCCCTTGCTTTCTCTATGATCCAACGAATGTGGGCAATTTGATCTCTGGTTCCTCTGCCTTTTCTAAACCCATTTTGTTCTTGGCTTACCAGCTTATAAGAGAGGACAGCAACGACGCAGGATACTATATGTATTAAAACCCATTTCCCCTTTATCACTGGCAAGAAGCCTTATGAAGAACACCGAGGGCTGATGAGACAGGTCAGGCTCCACGTGTTTCCACCTTACATGCACATCACTGACCGGAAGGCTCATGTCCTCCAAGTCCACAGGGTCACAAACTTGTTCCCGAGGGCCATTTTCACTTTGAAGTTTCAGCAGAGCTTGTTCAGTCACTGTGGAAGCTGCTTCTCTTGGAAAAGACAGTCAAGCCTTTGAAATTCCCTGGCTTGACCTTGGCAAGAGATTCATAAAATCCTCCCTCCAAAGGGTTGCTGCGAGAGGCTGTGGAATGTGGCGTGGGTGCTTCAGGACTGGCAGAGCGGAGTGCATGTTTGGATTCGGAAGGACTGTTGGAATGCTCTTCTGTATACACAAATTTCACAGCCTTCTTCCTGAGGCATAGAAGATGCAGATCTGTGGGTCCTGCAGCGCTAAAATGGCACCCAAAACTGCTTGAATCCAACTGTGCCATCAGCCTGCACATAGAAAGTTCGATACGATGTTACAGCTTCAAAGAGGGTATGTCTCATCATCATGTCACTTTGCTGACATTCCTGGACTTGATGAAGCTCTTTAAGTGGCTGTACGCAGAGAGGTTCCTTTTCCAGTTCAGATTTGAAGTAGGCTATTGTGTCTCCATCCAACTGAAAATATCTTCTCTTTCAGTTTTTCATCACTGCTCCTTGTTCGACACAATAACCAGCTTTGATCACTGCACTGTCTGAAGGCAGTTTGGGAGTAAAGTAAGGAAGATGGCTTTGTGACCACTTCACCTTATTTCAGTCAATAGTTTTACCATGTTCATTTACTTCCTTTTGCTGAGTTGGGGTAACAATGGGCGCACCACCACCAATGTCAGTTCTATAAGACATTTGCTTCTTTCACATTCACCTTGACGACTTGGGTTATCAGAATGAGGCTGTGATGGGCAGCTGGATGGAAGAGAAGCTCAAGAAGGAGGGGATATATGTATACTTCGTGGCTCAGGGGTAAAGAATCCATGCACCAGTGCAGGAGATGTGCTGTTCAATCCCCGGGTCGGAAAGACCCCCTGGAGAAGAAAACAGCAACCCACTCCAGTATTCCTGCCAGGGAAATCCCATAGACAGAGGAGCCTGCTGGGCTACAGTCCATGGGGTCAAAAACAGTCAGACAGGACTTAGCAAGTAAACAACAAATAGCTGATTCACATTACTGTACCGCAGAAACCAACATAACACTGTAAAGAACTTACCCTCCAATTAAAAATAAATTTAAAAAAAGAAAAATATTAATACCTCATTTTGGTACTGTAATTTTTATAGCTTTGTTCACCACGTTTACTCATTCTACTAGATCCTGCTGATCATTGACTTGTAGAAAATATTTTCTCCTCCCTGCATTCACAACAAAACAAAACTGGCCTTTGCTTAGTTGCATCGTTGACCTTTGAAATGTGGGTAAGTTTAATGACTCCAACAGAGCTGATGGATCCAGAAAGCAGGTTCTGTGGATGATCTATGTACCAAACAAAACTCTCTTCTCTGGGATCCAGTATGAAGTACCTCGGAAAAAAATTTCCCACTGTTTCCACTTTCTTCACTGTCTAAGAAACCACAAATGCGGTTCCGACAAGCCACGTAAAGCCTTTCCCAGCTGGAACATTACACAGCGCCCCGCCTTTCCCTCGACCCGCCCAGCTGGCTTCAGCGAGCTCTGAGCTTTAGGGGCCGCGCCTCTCCCCGCCCCGGCAATGCTGCGATTATCCATTATTGCACTAGTCTTCAGGTCAGCCCTTGGCCTGGAGCACCAGCGCAGACCTGCCCCGTGTCCCATAGGTACCGAGCTTCAGGTTGGGGAGCGGCGGAAAGAGACGGCCCCACGAAGGCTCCCCCGCGCACTGCGCACGGGCGCCCACACAGCCGCAGCCCCGCCAGACAGCAGCCAAGATTCCAGAGCTCGGCACTCCTTGTGCTTTCTCTTATGTCTATGTACTCAGCGTTCACTTCATGCTCTCCATAGATTATTTCCTATGATGTTCTGAACAATTATTGTTTCCATTTTATTAAAGCTTAGGTTAAGTTATCTTGCCCAGGGCCACATTTGTAACTGCTATGCCACAGGGCTCACATAGGGTTTTATTATCAGCCCATTAGTATTTTACAATGCGTGCATTCTGGAGTGACTCTCATGCACCCATCCTCTGGAATTTTGATTCTGGGTTTGGGCTATGGCGACTTAGATGGATGGATAACAGTAACCATGTTAGTTAATTGCATGCCTGTTACCCAAAGCTTACCTACCTGAAAACAGCCCTTAGCAGATGCTTTGCAAAGCTCACCTCCAAACACGCGATGGGATGCCTTGCCATTTCTGCCCCTTCAACTTCCTCAGGCTTGCCTCATCCCTCCAGTTCCCCCAAGGGGATGGGAGGCCCCTCAGGGAAGCAGCTTTCCGCTCCTAGTTTGCTCCAGGGATAGTCTCTTTGCAAGCAGCTGCTAAGCAGTGCAGTCCCACTGTTATGGTGGAACTCACTGGATCAGAGAGGAAATCCTCCCCAGTGGCTGGCCAAAGTCAGGAAGAATCATGCCCCCAGGCATGGGTTGCAATCACCAAAGAAAGAAGAGGGATCCTCCAACATGACATCGAGGCTTCACAGAGACAACCTTGGAAAGGTCTCTGCGGTAGTTGTGAAAGGGCCACAGATACTACCCATCCCTGTGTGGGAGCAACTTTGCCATCCTCCCTCCAAAAAGTCTATAGTGGGACCTCCCTGGCGGTCCAGAGGTTAAGACTTCACCTTCCAGTGCAGGGGGTGCAGGTTCGGTCCCTGGTCAGGGAGCTAAGATCCCACATGCCTCTTGGCCAAAAAAAACCAAAGCATAAAACAGAAGCATTATTGTAACAAATTCAATAAAGGCTGAAAAAAAATGGTTCACATTTTAAAAAATCTTTAAAAGGAAAAAGAAGTCTATGGCTATACTTTGGGCTTAGCTATGTGACTTACTTTGATGAACAGCATATTAGCAAACAGTCTTTGCATATTGGAGCTTGCCAGTTCCTGCTGCTCTAGATTGATGAAATCACAGAATAAAAAGAAAAAAACCAAAGAGCTCTAACCAGCATGTTAGAAAGGCCACAAAGAGAAGAACTGAGAAGCGCACCCTCAGCAGAAAGCCAGTTAACATGACATGTGAGTCCCATCCTGAAGGAACCATTTAGCCCAGATAAGATCTACAGAATGCTTGCCAACTTAATCCTGCCTAAACTGCCAACCCACAGAATCGTGATCTAGTAAATGATTGTTTTAAGTCTCTAAATGTTGGGGTGGTTTGTTATTCAGCAAAAGTGAACTGATATAGTCTCTTCCAACTTAAATCTCATAAGTATGACTTACCTCCATCTTTTAAGGGTGGGAGTTCAACTTTCTTCAGTTCAAAGTCACTATTAGTAGGGAGACCTACAAAGTGTTTCTTCAGGGTCCACCTCTTAGCATGAACCATCCTGAAGCTCCTAGAATACAGTATAACACGTAGTCAGTGTCGTGATGTGACTGATTTCTTACGGCTTCCTGAGGGTTGTCCAAAGGTGAACAGATGGTTTACCCATCATCAACTTTATCATTTAACCTCAATCGTGTTTATTTAGCATTCACTGTTCCTGATGCTGTGCTAAGCAAGGCATACTTATTTCATTTTACCCTCATAACTTCCCTGTAAGAGGGGTATGATTATCATTGCCAGGGCACAGTGTACCAATGAGGAAATGAGTCTACCTTAGAAATCTCCAAGGCAAAGTAACAATATTAACCCACACAGATTTGTCCTAGCCACTGCTAAGGCTTGCTTAGGAAGTGAACAGATACCTGGATTGAAAATATTTCATTTCTCTCCTCATATGAAGAGAATTCTAAGAAAAAGCATCAAACATAAAGAACCTACTAGAAGTCCATGCACATCTTTCGGATTGAGCGCTGCCTTCCAAGACAAGCAGTCTCCAAAACACCTGACAACCACTGGGTGGCGATGCTGCTCAGTCTCATTTTCTTTCTTTTTTTTTGGTCGATCCTATTATTTGTAGCCGTTCTAATAGGTTTTTTTTTATTTTTATTTTTTTTCCATTTATTTTTATTAGTTGGAGGCTAATTACTTTACATCATTACAGTAGTTTTTGTCATACATTGAAATGAATTAGCCATGGATTTACATGTATTCCCCATTCCAGTCCCCCCTCCCACCTCCCTCTCCACCCGATCCCTCTGGGTCTTCCCAGTGCACCAGGTCCAGAGCACTTGTCTCATGCATCCAACCTGGGCTGGTGATCTGTTTCACCCTAGATAATATACATGTTTCAATGCTGTTCTCTTGAAACATCCCACCCTCGCCTTCTCCCAGAGTCCACAAGTCTGTTCTATACATCTGAGTCTCTTTTTCAGTTTTGCATATAGGGTTATCGTTACCATCTTTCTAAAGTCCATATATATTTGTGTTAGTATACTGTAATGGTCTTTATCTTTCTGTCAGCCTCATTTTCAAACGCGCGTTTTCTTTGGCAGCAAAGAAGAAATCAAGGGTAAATTTGCCTGCACCCAAGGCCAGGAGAAGAGAATTCAAGTGACCCCGAGCTCTTGGGTCAGAATATTTTGCGTGGAGCGATGGAGGTGGTTCGAGCCGCAACCTCACTGTTCCTAATTGTCTTCCCCCTCCAAAAAGGCAGCCGCTGAGAATTTTGGACTCGCCGTAAGTCCGGAAGCACCTCTGGAAGGGGGACGACCACAGACGCAGGCGAGGATCATGAGAAGTCCCACCCGCCAGAGAATGGGGTCCAGGATCACTCACCCCCGGATCCCACCTCCTCGCCTTGCCCACACGCGGGCGTTAAACTCCTGCCTTTCTCTTCCACACTTGTGCCATTTGTGCTGTCCCTCAAGTTCCTAGCTAGCCCCCTCCCCGATGCAGGGGGCTACGCCTGTACCCAAAATGCTGCCAGGCCATGCCCTTCTCTTAGGCAGCCGTCTGCGATCTCTAAGAACCTGCAGGGGCCAGGAACATGGCTGGGACATCCTGCTTTCAAGTTTCGTCTGAGTGCAAGACTCAGAGGTTACCCAGCATTAGGCGAGGGCCAGCACCGGGCAAACGCTGAGCCAGGGCGGGTCTCGGTACCCTGGAGATGGGGCGGGCGGGGGGACGTTTACTTACCAGAGTCTGCAGGACCCACTTCCTGAAGCCGGAGGTTGGGACTGCGGAAGAGTTGCGGGAGCGGCAATTTAAGGCTGATATCAACAGAGGGTGGGGCTTCCTCCAGAGCAGGACTGCTGGGAGAGTTTACAGGAGGGAAGAGCAGAGTTCCAGGGAGCGAGAGAGCGCGCGCGAGCGAGCAAGCGAGCGAGAGAGACAGAGACAGTGTGTGCGTGTCTGTGTGTGTGTAGGGGGTTCTTGCAAAAGTAAAAGCCTCCATTGGAGCCCTGCCCGGGTAATACTGTGTCTCCATCAGTGTCTTAACTGGAAACCAGCCGCTTCCCCGCCTGCCAGGCAGGGAGGAGGGGCACAAAGGCGGGTCTCCCAGCGGCCTGAGCCAGAGGGTTCCTCCTCAGCCTTGGAGCTCAGTTCGGTTCAGTCCTTCAGTTGCTCAGTCGTGTCCTACTCTTTGCGACCCCATGGACTGCAGCACGCTAGGCCCCCTGTCCATCACCAACTCCCCGAGTTTACTCAGACTCGTGTCCATTGAGTCAGTGATGCCATCCAACCATCTCATCCTCGGGGTTCCCCTCCTCCTCCTGCCTTCTATCTTTCCCAGCATCAGGGTCTTTACAAGTGAGTCAGTTCTTCGCATCAGGAAGCCAAAATACTGGAGTTTCAGCTTCAACACCAGTCCTTTCAATGAATATTCAGGACTAACTTCCTTTAGGATGGACTGGTTGGATCTCTATGCAGTCCAAGGGACTCTTAAGAGCCTTCTCAAGAACCACAGTTTAAAAGCATCAATTCTTTGGCGTTCAGCTTTCTTTACAGTCTAACTCTCACATCCATATGTGACTATTGGAAAAGTCAAAGCCTTAACTAGACGGAACTTTGTTGACAAAGTAATGTCTCTGCTTTTTAATATGCTGTCTAGATTTGTCATAACTTTGCTTCCAAGAGGTAAGCGTCTTTTAATGTCATGGCTGCAGTCACTATCTGTAGTGATTTTGGAGCTGGAAAAAATAAAGTCAGCCACTGTTTTCACTGTTTCCCCATCTATTTGCCATGAAATGATGGGACCAGATGCCGTGATAGTAGTTTTCTGAATGTTGAGTTTCAAGCCAACTTTTTCACGGTCCTCTTTCACTTTCATCCAGAGGCTCTTTAGTTCTTCTTAGATTTCTGCCATAAGGGTGGTGTTATCTGCATATCTGAGATTATTGATATTTCTCCCGGCAATCTTGATTCCAGCTTGTCCTTCATCCAGCCCAACATTCCCCATGGTGTACTCTGCATAGAAGTTAAATAAGCAGGGTGACAATATACAGCCTTGACATACTCCTTTCCCTATTTGGAACCAGTCTGTTGTTTCATGTCCAGTTATAACTGTTGCTTCCTGACCTACATATAGGTTTCTCAAGAGGCAGGTCAAGTGGTCTGGTATTCCCATTTCTTTCAGAATTTTCCACAGTTTATTGTGATCCACACAGTCAAAGGCTTTGGCATAGTTAATAAAGCAGAAATAGATGTTTTTCTGGAACACTCTTGCTTGTTCGATGATCCAATGGATGTTGGCAATTTAATCTCTGGTTCATCTGCCTTTTCTAAAACCAGCTTGAACACCTGGAAGTTCACGGTTCACATACTGTTGAAGCCTGGCTTGGAGAATTTTGAGCATTACTTTACTAGCATGTGAGATGAGTGCAATTGTGCGGTAGTTTGAGCATTCTTTGGCATTGCCTTTCTTTGGGATTGGAATAAAAACTGACCTTTTCCAGTCCTGTGGCCACTGCTGAGTTTTCCAAATTTGCTGGCATATTGAGTGCAGCACTTTCACAGCATCATCTTTTAGGATTTGAAATAGCTCAACTGGAATTCCATCACCTCCACTAGCTTTGTTCATAGTGATGCTTCCTAAGGCCCACTTGACTTCACATTCCAGGATGTCTGGCTCTAGGTGAGTGATCACACCATCGTGATTATCTGGGTCATGAAGATCTTTTTTGTACAGTTCTTCTGTGTATTCTTGCCACCTCTTCTTAATATCTTCTGCTTCTGTTAGGTCCATACCATTTCTGTCCTTTATTGTGCCCATCTTTGCATGAAATGTTCCCTTGGTATCTCTAATTTTCTTGAAGAGATCTCTAGTCTTTCCCATTCTATTGTTTTCCTCTATTTCTTTGCACTGATCACTGAGGAAGGCTTTCTTATCTCTCCTTGCTATTCTTTGGAACTCTGCATTCAAATAGGTATATCTTTCCTTTTCTTCTTTGCCTTTCACTTCTCTTCTGTTCTCAGCTATTTGTAAAGCCTCCTCAGACAGCCATTTGCCTTTTTGCATTTCTTTTCCTTGGGGATCGTCTTGATTCCTGCCTCTTGTACAGTATCACAAACCTCCATCCATAGTTCTTTAGTCATTCTGTCTATCAGATATAATCCCTTGAATCTATTTATCACTTCTACTGTAAAATCGTAAGGGATTTGTTTTAGGTCAAACCTGAATGGTCTTATGGTTTTCCCTTCTTTCTTCAATTTAAGTCTGAATTTGACAATAAGGAGTTGATGATCTGAGCCACAGTCAGCTCCCAGTCTTCTTTATGCTGACTGTCTAGAGCTTCTCCATCTTTGGCTGCAAAGAGTATAATCAATCTGATTTCGGTATTGACCATCTGGTGATGTCCATATGGAGAGTCTTCTCTTGTGTTGTTGGAAGAGGGTGTTTGCCACGACCAGTGCATTCTCTTGGCAAAACTCTGTTAGCCTTTGCCCTGCTTCATTTTGTACTCCAAGGCCAAAATTGCCTGTTACTCGAGGTATCTCTTGACTTCCCACTTTTGCATTCCAGTCCCCTGTAATGAAAAAGACATCTTTTTGGGGTGTTGGTTCTAGAAAGTCTAGTAGGTCTTCATAGGACTGTTCAACCTCAGCTTCTTCAGCATTACTGGTTGGGCATAGACTTGGATTATGGTGCTATTGAATGGTTTGCCTTCGAAACGAACAGAGATCATCCTGTCTTTTTTGAATTGGCACCCAGTACTGCATTTTGGACTCTTCTGTTGACTCTGATGCTTGGCCAGCTTCTATACTGCCACCATGGCACTCTGGTGCTGGCCCCTTGCCCTCCTGCCCCAAGTTTCCCTGATGAGCACCTATTTTCCTTACAAGAGCCGAAAGGTCACTCCTCTGTGTCTTTCTGTAACTCTCCCAGGCACCAGTGAGCAATCCCTATCACTGAGGCACCCCACCCACTGCAGCCCAACAACACCCAGCTTTTGGTAGGGTCTTTCTCCCCCGGCCTCAGGGAGCAGAGGTGTCCAAGGGAGAGATTGTGCGGCAAGGTTGTTCCAGCAAGTGTTCCAGGGCTCTGGTTTCAGGCCTGTGCCCACCACACCCACCACTCGTCAAGACACATCTCTGAATGAGCTACTTAACCTCTGCCTGGATAAATCACTCATCTGCAAGATGTGGTTAACAGTAGTACTTCATGAAAATTAAATCCTTTTAAGACTGAAATATAAGACATACTTGTGATCAGTCCTGTCTGACCCTTTGCAACCCGAAGGGATTTTCCTGGCAGGAATACTGGAATGGGTTGCCATTTCCTCCTCCAGTGGATCTTCCCCAGCCCCCATGTCCTGCATTGCAGGTGGATTCTTTACTGCTGAGACACTGGGGAAGCTCTAAACATAAGATATAATACCACATAACTCCTAGCAGACAGCACAGGCAAAACATTCTCTGACATAAGTACCAATGTTTTCTTAGGTCAAGGGACACAGGCCTGGGACTGCCCTTCTCCCAAGGCAATATAAATAAAAGCAAATCAGACTTGCAAGCTTTTGCACAGCAAAGGAAAACATAAAAACAAACAAAAAAATGAAAAGACAACCTCTGGAATGGGAGAAAATATTTGCAAATGATGTGACAGACAAGGGCTTGATTTCCAAAACATTCAAACAGCTCATACAACTCAACAATAATAAAAATAACCCAACTGAAAAATGGACAGACCTCAATAGGCATTTCTCCAAAGAAGACATACAGATGGCCAGTAGGTACATGAAAAGATGCTTAACATCACTAATTATTAGAGACCTGCAAATCAAAACTAAAATGTGGTACCATCTCACACCACTCAGAATGGCCATCATTAAAAAGTCTACAAATAACAAATGTGGGAGTGGGTATGGAGAAAAAAGAATCCTCCTACACCATTGGTGGGAATGTTGGTTGCTACAGCCATTATGGAAAACAGTGTGGAAGTGTCTCAGAAAATTAAAAATAGAATTATCATATGATCCAGCAAGTACACTTCTGGGAATATATCCAGATAAGACTCTAGTTCAAAAAGATGCATGTACTCCTATGTTCAGAGCTGCACTGTTCACAATAGCTAGAACATGGAAACAACCTAAATGTCCTTCAACAAATGAATGGATAAAAAAGATGTGGTCTTTATATGCAGTGGAGTACTATTCAGCAATGTAAAAGAAGAAAATAATGCCATCTGCAGCAATATGGATGCAATTAGAGATTATCACACTAAGTGAAGTAAGCCAGAAAAAGAAAGACAAATACCATATGATATCACTTATATGTGTAATCTAAAATATGGCACAGTTCAGTTCGGTTCAGTTCAGTCGCTCAGTTGTGTCTGACTCTTTGCGACCCCATGAATCGCAGCACGCCAGGCCTCCCTGTCCATCACAAACTCCCGGAATTTACCCAAACTCATGTCCATCGAGTCGGTGATGCCATCCAGCTATCTCATCGTCTGTCGTCCCCTTCTCCTCCTGCCCACAATCCCTCCCAGCATCAGGGTGTTTTCCAATGAGTCAGCTCTTCGCATGAGGTGACCAAAGTATTGGAGTTTCAGCTTCAGCATCAGTATGGCACAAATGAACCTAAAAAAAGAAACAGACTCCTAGACATAGAGAACAAACTTACGATTGCCAAGGAGGAGTAGAGGAGGGAGAAGGAGGGACTGGGAGTTTGGAGTTGTTATATGCAAATTATTACATTTAGAATGGATTAACAACAAGGTCCTAATGTATATCACAGACAACTATATTTAATATCCTTTGATAAACCATAATGGAAAAGAATACAAAAAAGAATGTATATATGTGTATAACTGAGTCTTTTTGGTATACAGCAGAGATTAGCTCAAAACTATACATCAACTATACTTCGATTAAAAGA